TTGATTGATGATTTATGATCATTAGAATTTTTGTGATTTTATGGCATATCTAATTAAAATGTGATTTGGTATGTTTAAATTAGATTAATTATTGATAAATTACAAACTTGGACTTAATCACGACTTTGCCATGCCTAGTGACCCACTAACTAAACACTTTGAGCCTCATACACACTTGACCAAAACATTTTCTTCAGCCATTTCCTTGTTCTAGCCGACTAGAGTGAGGGAGTGAAAGGAATTGAGTTGAACTTGGAGAATTGGCTAGAGAACTTGAAGAATTGAAGTATAGATTGCAAATTAAGCTCCCTTATCTTGCATTGGAGCCCTAAGGTAGTATAATCACCCTCTTGTTTATGAATTGAGCTTGTTCTTGCATGATTCATGTCAAAATTAGGGGATTGAGTCTAGAATTGGCTTAATATGTTGAATTGCAGCATAGATCATGCATGCATGCTTCCATTGTTGAAATTTGAGTCGATTTCATGGAAAATTGTTACTTGCATGTTCAATTGAAGTTATGTTCTTGAAATTTGGTTTGAAATTGAGTTGAATTGATCTTCCTTTGGGGCTTTGGTTTTACAATTGACCTTTGAAACATGTTGTTCTATGAGTTTACAAATGTTTTCCAGCAAATTAGCCAAAGAGGATCAAAATTCATGTTTTAAAACTTGATTTTGAGTTTGAGGTTCAAATCTAAGAATTCCAGATTTTGAACTCATACTCGAGCGGGGTGACTGGGGCTCGAGCGTGAAATTCGTGCTCCCAGTACTTTGCACTGTTTTGAGGTCCGCTCGAGCAGGGTAATTTATGCTCGAGCGGGACCTTGTGTATTACGCTCAAGCGGGTGTCGAGCACCCAATCGAGCATGAATTTCACCCATCCAGCATTTTTGACTGTTTTGCAGTACGCTCGAGCGGGTAAGTCTGTGCTCGAACGGAAACCTTTGTCTGCATGTCCGCTCGAGCGGAGTAATCGACGCTCGAGTGGGACCCCTATTTTCTGAAAATCCTAAAAATGCTTTTAAAGTGCATCTTTGCATCCTCATCCCATCCTAGGCATTCTTAGGCCTAGTTTAAGGCATCTTAATGATGATATTGGTGTAGAACCACACCGAGTCAAGATAGGGATTAAGTTATATTTTTCCAACCGTATAGTTTAGTGTGTGTTCACTCTGTACCTGTGTAAGGTTGGCATCCGGAGACGCACTCTAACTTATCTATAGCCCAGAACTCTGTGAGTAACAACTGTGTAAAGATATGTTCAAATATGATTATCTTCTGAACAATTGAATTGTACTGTTTTCTGAAATGATACTGTTACTGAATGAATGATGTCCTAATTGTGAACTGTATTGTGGCATCCTTAGCAACCTACTGTTACTGTGTTGTACTGCTACTGTCACAGAGATCTCTGTCGGTTCCCATGTTAGAACCACTACTGTTTACTGATACGATGGCCATCAACTGACTGTTCGGTCTGATAAGACCTACTGTACTGTTTTGCTACTGGATGCACCACATATGACTGTAATGACTGAATAACTGATATACTGATTGAAATGATTATTTTCAATACTGTAAGGACATTCATTTTTAATCTCTTTACGCGTTATGTTATTTACTGGGCTTTAGCTCACTGTTTCTATACATATATGTAGGTGTTTAGGCACCAGATCGGAGCTAGAAGCGTGGGTTAGACTCCCATTTTTGTCAAGCCAACCACTATGCCTCACTGCGAGGTTTCGAGCCTGCTAAGCTATGGCTTAGGGGTGTTTTAATTTCCCCCGTCTATCTCTGTATCTGTTTTGTAATGTTGTATAGACTGATAGCACTGTACTGTACTGTTTCAATAGGGGTTAAGTCCCTGTCCTAAATGATTGTAAATGTCGTATATACTGTTTTGCACTAATGGTATATATGTATCAAAAGTCTTTTTGCATACAGACTGTCACAGCTCATTGGACATTGTTTATTTATTGTTTTGGCTTCCATCATGCCCCTGTACTCTGTATTATTGTTTGACCGTTAAGCAGGCCTTCGGTAATCACGGATTACTGGCCGGTTACGGTGCTAAGCCTATAGGGGTGGGTTTGGGTCGTGACAATTCACATCAGTAATATGAATGTTCCACATTTGTTTTAGTGCTAGCATCACATCAATCTACACTAATGTGAATGTTTACACTAGCGTCTACTAATGTGTGTTTGTACATTACTGAACGGTAATGTGAATGTTTACATCACTGATGTCAACTTCCACACCATTGCCCAGTAATGTGAACATTCACATCAGAGTGGGCAGACCCCGTAAATGTTCATATTTAAACATAGCATAAGTTTTATGAGATTTACCATTAACAATATCACACATCCGGTGCCTCGTCCTAGTTTTCCACAGTTTTGGCCCAATGAACCCATCAGGTTTGCCCGGATGCTCTCAGCCCAATCATACTCGATCATCTTGTCTAATGGGTCCATGTATGAGTAGAAAGCCCATCCAATTATTTCTCCCGATGTAGAAAAGAATAGCTTGACGCATGCATACATGCAAACTAATCTTGCGACCTCTTCATTGTCTTGTTTCTTTGTGCCCTTCAATGCTTCGCTCAGAATTTCTCTTATTTTGGCAGCACTTAACCGGCTAACATCCTTGCACATTCGGTGTATGATGCCGGTTGTTGGTTTTGCACCGTAAGAGAGGTCCATCGACTTGGTGCCGCAGTCCACCCCAAAAATCAGTGATATGTCGCTTCTAAAAATCTGGATGTTCTTATCCCCAATGTAAAACCTCCCACTAGATGGCTTGAATGTCTGTACTATACGTACAATGACATCATCATATTTCATGTAGTGGTTGAGGTCGACTTCATTACTAATCAAGCAATCAAACAATGGCCAAAACGGTGTTTTTTTAAGGCACTTCAATTGGCCACTTGTAAATTTTGTATCCTTTAACAGTTTGACCAATCCAGTTATATTTGACCGGTAGTTAACTTTTTTTCATGTTCACTTCTTCAGGAACAGCTGTTTGATCAGGTTTGGCTTTGGCACGAGATTCCCCTCGCTTTCACTTACCATCAAATCTATGGGGAGGACCTGGGTGTTCAAATAAGAACATATAATTAGCTGAAAAACAGAAGATGGAACCAAAAGCACCAAACAACATTCAACAATCAGCATTAACAGTAATGTGAACATTCACATCCTTGTACACTGATGTAAATGTTTACATCTGTGCATACTACTGTTAGTTTACCCAGTATACTAATGTGAATGTTCACATCATCTATGTTTGCAAAATCAATTCCGAAAACAACACCAATTATAGGGCAATGTAAATGATTTCATGGGTGATCACATTATGTTATAATTTGCTAAAAATCAAATGGTGGAACCAACAGCACCAAACAACACCCAAGAACACAAACAAGTCGGACATTGATGTCAGAATATGAATATTTACATCATATTTCATCACATTGTTGAGTGAAGTTTGGGGGTTTTGTGGACATTACCAATCAACAATATCAACATTGACAGTAATAGTGTCTACTACTATAAGTTTTACCCAGTAATTAACACTAATGTGAATGTTCACATCATCTATGTTTACAAAATAAATTTCGAAAACAACACCATTTACAGGGCAATGTAAATGTTTACATGGGTGATTACATTATGCTATAATTTGCTAAAAATCAAAGGGTGGGACCAACAGCACCAGACAACACCCAACAACACAAACAAGTCTGACATTGATGTCACAATGTGAATATTTACATCATATTCCATCACATTGTTGAGTGAAGTTTGGGGGTTCTGTGGACATCAACAATCAACAATATTAACAGTGACACTAATGTGAACATTCACATCACTATACACTGATGCAAATGTTCACATTATCTATGTTTACAAAATCAATTCCGAAAAGATCTATGTTTACAAATTCAAATCCGAAAACCAGAAGGTGGATGTATACATCGGCGATGACATTATGTTTGAAAAGCAAAAGGTGGAATGATATTGCTTACTTTTGTTCCTCATGGTTGGTGGATATGGATGACACTCAGTGGATGAAATAAACTCAATGCGACGACAAGAATTTCCGAACGACGAAGCACCTTCCTTCCGATGTGAACCTTTACAGCGGTGAGATGAAGAGGAATCTGGGGTCGACGGTCAATGGTGGCCGACGACAACGTTGGTGAGGCGATGTGAATCTAGGGTTACTGGAGGCGATGTGAATCTCATTTGGTGGATTCAGTTTTTGTTTTGGAAATTTTATGGATTGAATAGTTGGAATGGGAATGGATTTTGCAGAATCGGTTACATGCGGGAGAGGCAAATGAGGGTTATTTCGTCCTTTTACAATTAATGGACCTAATGGAATATTCAGAAATAGTTTGGATTTTATGGAATAAAACACTTACAAATAGGATTTATCAAAAAAAAGCCCATGCTTTTTTATCTAGAAACTGTCACTCATTGTTATCAAATAACTGTCATATTCAATAATAATATTATTTATTTTTTGGCATCAAATTGTCGAAATAAGCTATATAAATTAGGAAAATTACTATTCAGTGATAATTCTACAAAATTAATACATATTCATGAAAGAATTTATAATTTTAATTAGTAATATTTATAAAGTTTACCATTTATTTGCAATTATTTTTCAAAACACCCACTGAACTGAAATTTTCCCATATAAATTGATTCAATCATCAAACTATTAAAGAATTTAAATAGAAAATTGCAAACACACACAGACACACAGCTTCCTAATTTTGATAATTTAATTTGCATAATTTATTTAAGTTTAGAAATTAATCCAAGAATACGTGATGGGTTTCTAACCAAGTCAACAAGTGGTCTGGTTGGGCTGAAGCTTACTTAACCGACTCGAGCCCATTACTTTAAATAATTGGGACACAATTGTCAATTAATCAAAAGACGATCCTTTTTTCGTAATTTAAGCCCTTCATCTTCCTCAAACCCTCGCCTATAAATAGTCGCTGCCTAAGCTACTATAAACCCTCTGTTGCTCGCTCTGTCTCGCAGTGTTTCTCTCTCCGATCTCTTCTCCGTTTGTTTGGACGATCCGAGAGCTTGCTAATCATGTTGGTCTATCAGGACTTACTTACCGGTAATCTCTCTCTTCACATGCATTTATGTAACTTTTGTTAGATTGTATTGTATTCGATTGAATGTTTATGTGTTATCTGAGCTAGTTGGTTTTAGATCAGTGTTCAATTTCTTGCTTTCATGGTGATCTGTGAATGTTTAGAAGGGCTTTTCGGTTAAACCTAGGGTTTTAATACGCGTGATTATATTTTTTAGATCACTGTTCAATTTCATGCTTTCATGGCGATCTGTGAAGGTTGTAAGGGCTTTTTGGCTAAACTTAGTTGTCTAGGGTTTGTATAGAGCTTTTAATTGTATTTCATGTGTTCTGTGAACTGGTTGTTTTTAGATCAGTGTTCAATTTCATGATTTGATGGCGATCTGTGAAAGTTTTAAAGGGCTTATTGGTTAAACTTAGGGCTTTTTAATATGTGATTATTTTTTTTTAACCTTTGTTAGTTTTCGCTTCGTTCATGGTTGTCTAGGGTTTATATAGAGTATTTAATGGTATATTCATGTCCCATGTGAGCTAGATGTTTTTAGATTAGTGTTTAATTTCATGCTATCATGGTGATCTGTGAAGGTTTTAACAGTCAATATTGATAAGTCATGTTAGAGATTGGTTTTGTTTTTTTGTTTTAGTTTTTGGTGTGATAGATCGATGTGACGTTCTATATGATGTTGAATAATCCTTTTTGTTGTGATACATGAAAGTGACTTGTTTTCTTAAAAATAATTGTCTCATCCTTTGTTCTGTCAATTTTTTTTTTTGGTTAAGGGTTTTTGATTTGTAGGTTTTGTAGACAGTATAAGCCTGAAGTATGAGGAAATTGTTTACTGTTTAAGCTTGGAGTTGTAATCTATCAATACCCCTGGAAGTGCTACCTTTTCTTGAAATTCAAATATTGTCTTGGTAATTGTGTTGTTTGTGATTTGGATGTTTACCTCATATGTGTGTTGTGTGTTTTTTTTGAACTCTTGGTTAGTGTTAAATATTGTCTTAGAAAGTCTTCCATCTTTGTTTTGCATGATTCCTCTTATCTATCTTTCAATAAGTTGCCACTAATCCGCAAAAGCACTGGTCCACTAATTATCTTAAAGAGGCTTGCCAATTAAGATTGCTGATTTTGATTTGTGAATCATGATTTTTCCATTTGATATTCGTACCTCCAAAAATAGCTCTATTTATTTTTGTTTTTTCTTTTGCATCTGAAGTGACACTGTTAATGGGTAAAATAAGCATGTACTTTTGAGCATGAAATGGCTCCTCTATTGATTTGAAATGATTGCTAATTGAACTCCGTGAACATGGTGCTGTGGTCAATTTTGACAAATTATTGTTTTATCTGTGCTATTTTACTATTATAAAGGGAGAAACCAGCTTGGTGATCACTTCTATTGAATGACTGCCAACATTTACTGTTTGGTAGACCGAACCAGCTCGGCCTGACCTGACTTTGACTGCTTTCTGATTGCTGGTTAATGAACACCCCTTGTCCTAAGTAAATTATTATAGATCCTCATCCTTAATTATGTAGGAAGTCTAGGGATTTTGTAATCAGCTAAAAGCCTAAAAATTTGAATTAAAACTCCTTTGTTTTGCAAATATCGGGAAGTGGAAAATTGATTAACTAATGGGTGAGCAAAGACAATTAAAAGGGATGAAGGAAAGAACTTGGATTCCATAAATAACTCTCCCACAATATTTTTTGGAGAAACTTCCTAAATTGTTTTAACCAACATCATATAATTTCAATCTTACATTGATGTACACACAGTGCATTCTCTTTAGTATTCCTTAAATCAAGCATGTAGTTGAGCTTATTGTTTGCTTTCCATGCACCTTTTATTAATTAAATGGAAACTTATTGATGCCAGTTTTTACTTTAAATTATTTTATTTTACTTCAATTTAGGTTTGTATGAACATTATTGACAATTTTTGATATCATTAATGCCGTAAAGATTGACTCCTCTCGTTTGGTTAAGGGACTCCTGCACTCCTAATCTTCCATATCAACTAAACCCCACCCCATAATTCTATTTAGCATGTTAGAGTTGTTAAATGCCCCAAGTTAGTCGGGAGAAAGACTGCACATGCTTGCACAAGTGTTTCTTTGGTTGATTTTTATTTTTTATCTTACGGCTAAGTTATGTCTTATCGAAAGCATATGTATGAATTTATTGTGCTACTATTTATATTAACACTTTTCATCAACATCAATTAAAGGTGATGAGCTTCTCTCGGACTCGTTTCCATACAGGGAAATCCATAATGGAGTGTTGTGGGAGGTCGATGGGAAGGTCAGTGTTTTTTTAATCTAACTGTACTTTGTTGTTTATTTATGTTGGTTTATTAGTTGGATACTTTACTGGATAGTATTGCATTATGCATTGAGTGTTTAATTTACATTGTGTTTTTTTTGTCATTTCGTAGTGGGTTGTGCAAGGAGCAGTTGATGTTGACATTGGTGCAAATCCTTCCGCAGAAGGTGGTGATGAAGACGAGGGTGTCAATGATCAAGCTGTCAAGGTAGTTGACATTGTCGACACATTCAGGCTCCAGGTTAGTTTTGCAAACTTTCAATCACTTCAAAAGATTAGAAATGTTTTGAAGTTAAATTTGACACCAAAAAAATAAATGAATGTTGTATTTGTAGGAGCAACCTCCTTTTGATAAGAAGCAGTTTGTTGCATTCATCAAAAAGTACATCAAATTGTTGACACCCAAGCTGGAGGGAGAGAAGCAAGAAGAATTCAAGAAGAACATTGAGGGGGCAACTAAGTTCTTGCTCTCGAAACTCAGTGATCTCCAATTGTAAGTAACTTTTTTCTCATCTGAAGTATTTGTTTGTAACTGGATTGTTTTACCTGACTACATTACCGAAATAAAGATGTGATTATTGTTTCGGCAAATTTTTGTGAAATGACAAAACTCTTCCTTGTTTAAGATTCAAACTTAATGAAGTTGACAATCTGTTTTGTAGTTTTGTTGGGGAGGGCATGCATGATGACAGTACTCTGGTGTTTGCATACTACAAGGATGGTGCGACTGATCCAACATTCTTGTACTTTGGCCATGGGTTGAAGGAAGTCAAGTGTTAAAAAGTGAAATGGTAATCACTGGGTTTAAGGGGGGAGACGTGCTTTAGTTTTAGTTATTATTATAATTTCTCTTTGATATTTGTATCATGGAACTTAAAATTTCATCTTTTACTGTTTGCTACTCTCTGAACTCTGGATTGTCTCTGCATTCATGGGCTCTGTGCTTGAAACTTTGATTTTTTTTTTTTATATTTATTTTAAGAATTATGTACTATTATTATATAAATTTTTTGGGAGGTTTTCATAAATTGACAGCATTAAAATTGTTCCCAAAAAAATAGATTTGTCAACAAAATTTTTTTTGTATAAAAAGATAATTAATTCTATGTTTATTATATTTTATACTATTTTTTGTTTAGCACGAATGACTATTAATGGTTGAATATAAATATAAATGTGAATGGGACTTGTATGGATATTATTGAAAAATATGGGGAGTGTAGTTTTATTGACATCATAAATTTTAATAATGATATAAAAAAAATTTATACATAATTTTTGTATAAAATGATATAATTTAACATAGAGTTTTAATTTTAAAATAAAATACCGACGAAGATGTTTTTTATTTATAATATTATTTTGGTGAATTTTTGTTGCGTAAATTTTATATATAAATAGAGTTTAAAAGGGAAATTATCAATAAGTTTTAATTATTCGATCAAGTTTTATTGAAAATAATTTGATATAATTTTCATTAAGTTTATTGAAAATAAGTTTTAATAAAATTGTCGTTAAAAATAATTTTATTGTGTTTTTTTAACATGTTCTTAAAAATTGATTACTTTTTTGTCACAATTTTTATAAATTGTTATTAAAATTTACAATTAGTGATTTTTTTTTTTTGTAACGAAGTTTTTAAATTGTAGTTAGAAGTTAAAAATTAGTAATTTTTTATGATGGTTTTTTGAAATTATTGTTAAAATTTATAAGTAATGATATTTTTTGTGATAAAATTTAATAATGCTTTTTAATAGTATTTGATAAAAAAATGTTAATAATTTTTACAAAATTTATTGAGTAATAAATCTACTTTTTAATTTTTATACGTAAGTTCCCTTTTTACTTATTAATTTTTATATGTATGTTCGCTTTAATATTTTAAAAAAAAATATGAGAGAGAAAGAAAAAGGGTTTTTTTTGTTTTTGTTTTTTAGTACCTCATTGTAAATCTTACTAGTATAAGAACACAAAGATACCGCTTTGTCAAGTCCTTGGTAGTATGATACAATTTTTTAGACATAAAATGGTTTTATTAATGTTTACGACATGACGTCAGGAACATATATACTACACATGTTTCACATTAGGAATAAATTTTAAAATCTAAAAATTTAATAACTTTTAATTGAGATATCTATTTTTCGTAAAATTTATATTTTTATAATTCTTTTATCGAGATTTGTCAAATAAGATTATAATGAATATGAAATTCTCAACAACAAAAAAAATTTGATGAATTTTTCTCTGAGTTTGTTATCCACAAACAACGAAATTTTATTGAGTAAATTTTTATTTTTATTTTTATTTTTTTTAAAAAAAGTGAAATTCCATTGATGTCAAGGGAAATAATTCTACTATTCATGTCAGTGTAAAATTTTAATCTCTTACTGAGTGCCATTTTGGGAACATAGTAAAAAATCACATTTTTGGAATGTCCAAAAATGTGGCTGCCAAAAACGCAACAAAATCCATTTGGGAAGTGCCAAAAACGCAGTCTTAAAATTACAAATTAGGGCTTATGAAAAAATAAATAAAAAAATAAATCTCTTATGTTGGATAAGGGTATTTTGGTCATTTTAATTTGATTTGACACTATAAATAAAGAGTAATGCTAGAGACCCCAAATATTCTACCAAAAATTTTACCAAATGTCTCACATGGGTGTGGGACCCACACAATGTGGGTCCCATGTGGGTCCCACACCCATGTGAGACATTTGGTAAAACTTTTGGTAGAATTTTTGGGACCTCTAGCATTTTTGATAAATAAATATTAAACTAAAAAGTAAAAAGTCAGTTTTTTATCAACTTTCCAAATCACTTTCAAAAAAGCTAAAAAACTTAATAAAAAGTCAAAAACTAACTTTTTACTCACTTCCCAAAACAACCCTCAAAGTCAATGAATTCACTCATACTAAAAGTACTCAGTAAAATTTCAAATGTCAATGAGATTTTACAGAAATTTCATTCATATCAGTAAAATTTCTCTCTCCCTGGCAAAAAGTTAGTGACTAAAATTTCAAAAGTTATTGAAATTTCATTAATAGTAGTGAAATTTTACTAACCTATAGTGAAAGACAGTGAACTTTCAGTGTATAAAATTGTTTTTAAAGTAGATAAATTTTAAATTCAAGCCTAAAAATTGCAAAATAAATGGAAGTCAATTGCAGAAATTAACTACTTGATTTCAAATTATGGAAAATACCTCAAAACAAATATAGGGTTGGGCTTATCTCAAGTTGAAATATGAAATTGAGGAGCCCGTGGAACTCAATCGTTCATTTTGTACGACCCTCCATATATATTATTCATAAAAAAATATTAGATCAATCTAATAATCATAATTTTTTCATTTTATCATGTTTATCTTAAAAAAATGAATGATCTATTTTCAAAAAAAAAAAAAATTGCTGTCTTTTTTATTTTATTTTGTTGTGTCTTCAAAAAAATGAATGATCGATCCAATATATTTTTACATGAATTTAGGCCTCGTTTGACAACTCAATATTTTAGTTTAAAAGTAAAAAACTCAATAAAAAAACTAAAAAGTCAACAATTTATACCAAAAAGTCAAAGATTTTATTTTTTCTTTATTTTTTGCAAAAAATAAAAGTCATTCCAAACATATTAAATTTTTTTTATCTCATATTTTACCCAAAAAATTAAAGAGTTACTGAAATAGCTATTCCCAAGCCAGGCCTTAATCTTTTTTTTTTTGTCCTTTTCTTGCAATTTTTAAATAACATCTAACTGCAAATAAAGACAGAAAAATAAAATTTGTTTCCAAACCAGTTAGTGAGATAATCCACCGATAAAACAGTCTATTTGGAGCCATTTTTGATAATAAAGTGTGGATGTATAACTCAAAAGGAAGCAACAGCTAATGTTTAGTCAATGAAAATGGAGCTTTAATTCAAAATTTTATACTCTAATTGTTAGATCTCAAACTCACATGCTTTAAGTAAAAGCAAGACTTTTTTTTCAAAAAGAAGTGCACTACAAGGCATGATGAGTTAGGCCAAATCAAAAAGGTGAGGTTCAATTGTCCACTTTTGGAATCCACCCACGCCTTCTTCTTCCTCTTTCATCATATGCCCCACAATGACCAAAACAATACACCCAATTAATTAACCTTCATGTAAGCAATGGGTAGATAACTACTAAATACATAAAAATTAGAAGTAAAGTCCTTTATTTTTCTTAGTTATTTGTATTTTATATTGAATTTATATAATACATAAAGGTCACCTACAAAATATTGAGTGTTATATAAACAAAAAAAAATTACAAAATACATATAATGCCATAAGAAGTTTTGATTTTAGAAACATAGCAATGGGTGGTTATCAAGGATGGATGGGGGGTGGCCGCACCCTCAAAAATTTGAAAAATATCATATGCTATACTAGAAATTTCAAAATAATTTAAAATTATAGGAGTTCGCACCTCTAAATTTTTTTTAGATAATTTCAAAATTATATAGAGTAGCCCCCAATTTTTTAAACTATTTAGAATATTTTTTTTTGAATTAGTTAACATATATAATAATCTTTTTTAAATTTCATGTATATGTATTTTTTAAATTAGGTCAAGATGAAAGCAAAATTTTAGAAACTTCAGTGGGTTAAAGTGTAAAATATGAAACTTTTACATATATGTAAGCTATAAGGCTTGCTGGAGAAGCTTTAAACAAAGCACTAAGATTAAAAAAAAAGAAGAAAACAACTGATCTGATCTGATCTGAGAGACTTGCTATGATTCTGCGAAAGAGAGAGGAGCAAAGCAACGAGGGATACAAAGAAGCTTTGTTGTCGGTGGTCCAATGGAGGCTTCGTCAAAGCTGTCGACATGGATGGTGGAACAGTGGATATCCCTTCAGACGAAATTATCTAATATTCAAAAACGAAAAGTAAGGAATTGCACTGTTGTTTGCTAAAAAAATAAGTTATGAATCTGAAAGGATATTAGATAAAATAATCTGTGGGGGCATAAGTTATCTGATATTCACAAACGAAGAGTTATGAATCTGGTAAAGTTATCTGATATATGATATCCCTTCAGCTTCAATGTGATGTGATTATTCTGCTTTTAAATTGAATATTATTAATCTATGATTGATTGTGATTTTGGACTGAATAATGTGATTATTTTGCTTTTAATTTTTTATTGGTGCGATGAAAATCTGATAATTGTTATTGGTACAATTATTAACTAAATATTGTGATTTTTTTTTTTTTAATACTATGATTTGGTGTCTACAACGAAGATACTTATTCAAAAATTTAGAGAAGATGGATGGGTTTCATTGTTGGAGAAAATTAAATTATTTTCTAATGCTCATGGTATACAGATTCCTGATATGAGTTGTCCTTATAAAGGAGGCCGAGGTTGGTCTTGTTCTGAAAGAGATCAGCTCACCGTGGAATATCATTTTCGAGTTAATATTTTTATGGTTACACTTGATTCTCAGTTTCAAGAATTAAATAATAGGTTTAAATAAGATGTAATGGAATTACTTGTTCTTAGCTCAGCTTTGGATCCTAGGGATGGTTATAGATCATTCAAAATTTAAGATATTTGTAAACTTGCAAATAAATTTCATCCCATGGATTTCTCCAAGCAAGAAAAATTGCATTTGAAGTATCAGTTGGAAAACTATAAGCTTGATATTTCCATACTTCCCGAGTTTCAGAAGCTGTCAACCATTTCTGAATTGTGTCAAATGTTGGCAAAAACAAAAAAGTCGACAAGTTATCCTCTTATTGATAAATTGATCCGTCTTGTGTTGACTTTACTTATTTCAACTGCTACATCGGAACGTGCATTTCAACTATGAAACTCGTTAAGTCTAAATTGTGCAATAGGATGGAAGATGGTTTTCTGGCTAGATACTTGATTACGTACATTGAAAAATATATTACTCGAGAGTTTGATATAGACTCTATCATTCATGCTTTTGATATTATGAAAGAGTATCGAGTTCAATTGAAGATGCCTAATTTTA